GTGGGAGCGGGGCTGGGGGCCAGGACGGAGCGAGGCGGGGTGCCCGACGGCGGCGGGTCCTGGAGGCTCTGTCCCCTTTCTGCCGCCCTTGAACCCGTCCGCAGCGTGGGGGGAGGCGGTGTAGGAGCCGCTCCGGGGGCCCAGGGAGGTCACGCCTGCTGGGCGGGAGTCAGGGGCCCGCTTGAGAGCGGCCGCTCGGCCGTGGCCCGTCTCACTCCACGCACCTCCCGTGTGCCCCGCGCATGCTGAGACACCGGACTCCGCTGGTGGACAGGAAGAGGAGCCTGGTCCTTATAGGGAGCGGGTGCTGGCAGGCGTGGTGTGGCTCCTGGAGAGGAGTTGCGGGCAGAGAAAGCCGGGCATGCCCAGCAGTCAGGGCATCAGGTCCCCACAGCCCGCCCGCTGTGAGCACGTTCAGAGCAGAGCCTTGGGGACTCCACAGAGGCTCCCTGGACAGGAAGGGAGGTCCTGAGCCCCGTAGGGTGGCCCTGAGTGGGGAGGTGGTCATGATGGAGGCCGGGTATGGGTTGGGGGAGGGGTGACCCCCCTGGTTGTTCCACCCCTGCCCAGGGGTCTCAAGTGGGTGAGCACCTCCCTACAGGTGAGCCCTGACCCGGCCCTGCCCACCCGCAGCCCCGAGGCAGAGCGTGCCCGTCCCAGGCAGGCCCGGCCTGCAGCCCCCATGGAGGGCACCGTGCAGCTGCTGACCCGCGAGGGCCACAGCGTGGCCCACAACTCCAAGCGGCACTACCACGACGCCTTCGTGGCCATGAGCCGCATGCGGCAGCGTGGCCTCCTGTGCGACATCGTCCTGCACGTGGCCGCCAAGGAGATCCGCGCGCACAAAGTGGTACTGGCCTCCTGTAGCCCCTACTTCCACGCCATGTTCACAAGCAAGTACCGCCCCCACGCAGTCTGGGCAGCTCTGGGGGGCTCTCTGCAGCTCTCCCAGGACTGGCACCAGCCTGACCCACTGTCCCCACAGATGAGATGAGCGAGAGCCGCCAGACTCACGTGACGCTGCATGACATCGACCCTCAGGCCTTGGACCAGCTGGTGCAGTTTGCATACACGGCTGAAATTGTGGTGGGCGAGGGCAATGTGCAGGTGCGACTGCCTCGCTAGCCCCCTCCCCTGCCGCATCTCCCTGCATCTCTCCCCACTTCCCCCATTATGTGTCTGCTTCCCTGGCTCCCTTGTCCTGCCCTACAGACTCTGCTGCCGGCCGCCAGCCTCCTGCAGCTGAACGGCGTCCGAGACGCCTGCTGCAAGTTCCTGCTGAGTCAGCTGGACCCCTCCAACTGCCTGGGCATCCGTGGCTTTGCCGACACACACTCCTGCAGTGACCTGCTCAAGGCAGCACACAGGTACGTGCTGCAGCACTTCGTGGACGTGGCCAAGACCGAGGAATTCATGCTGTTGCCACTGAAGCAGGTAACGTGCCAGCCGGACCTCGACCCAGACCATGGGACCCAGACTCCAGCACACAGCCCTTGTATGCCTGGCCCTTAAGGCCTGGCCCTTTGCCCTCCAACCCTCATTCCCACCCTCTGGCACACATCCCAGCCCCACCACCCATCCCCTAGTGCTCACTCCCGTCCTATCCCCATCTTCTGAGTCCATTTAAGCCTTCGTCTTTAACTCCTGACCCCATCCTGTCCCTACCTACAATCCCCAGTCCCTGGTTCCACATCCCCAAGACCACTCTGGACCTAGGACCCTGAGGAATCAAAGCTGTGGCTCCTGACCCTGCTTGGCCCTTCCCTGTAGGAACACTGAGCCCCTGGGGCCAGACTCTCCCTCCCAGGCACCTTCAGAGCTCCTTGGGCCTACAGGACCCTCCCCAGATCTCAGGTCTGAGGACACCCACCCCTAGGTGTTGGAACTGGTCTCCAGCGACAGCCTGAATGTGCCTTCAGAGGAGGATGTCTACCGTGCGGTCCTGAGCTGGGTCAAGCATGACGTGGACGCTCGGAGGCAGCATGTCCCGAGGGTGAAGCTGGGCCCTGAGGGCTTCTGCAGCATCTGGGAGGGGGTGCAGGTGGCTGAGAGCCTGGATGTACCCTGGCCTCTCCTGTGTTCAGGGACTCTGTGGGGGTGGTACAGGCACCTATCTCAAAAAAGAATCTGTTACACGAGTGGTACGGGCATTTGAAGTGGGGGTCTTGGCCCTGGGGCCAAGTGTGCCCAAGGGTCTCGCCTGACCTTGGTGTCCCCTGCACCCCAGCTAATGAAGTGTGTGCGGCTGCCTCTGCTGAGCCGCGACTTCCTGCTGGGCCATGTGGATGCAGAGAGCCTGGTGAGGCACCATCCGGACTGCAAGGACCTGCTCATTGAGGCCCTCAAGTTCCACCTGCTGCCCGAGCAGAGGGGTGTCCTGGGCACCAGCCGCACACGGCCTCGGCGCTGTGAGGGCGCCGGCCCCGTGCTCTTTGCTGTGGGTATGCCCATCCCCTCCCCTGCTCTTACATCCATGCTCTGTGCCTTCTTTCCCCATGCCTGTGCTGGTCAGGTCCTGACCTGCCCCTTCCTCCTCCAACCAGGGGCCTCTCCAGGACCCTGTGGGATGTGACCCACCAGTGTGGCCCTCGCCAAGCCCCATCTCCACCTGCCCCCGGAGCCCCCAGCCATTGCCTCCCTTGGCCCCTCCTCCTGCCTGGTCACCTCCCCCTCCCCAGGTGGCGGGAGCCTGTTTGCCATCCATGGGGACTGTGAAGCCTATGACACACGCACCGACCGCTGGCACGTGGTGGCCTCCATGTCCACACGGAGGGCGCGGGTGGGAGTGGCTGCTGTCGGGAACCGGCTGTATGCTGTAGGCGGGTAAGCATAGGGCAGTCTTGGGTCAGGGGCTGGGCAGCTGTTCACCAGGTCAGCCTTGACTGGTAGCGGACCCCTCCACCAGCTACGATGGGACTTCAGACCTGGCTACCGTGGAGTCATATGACCCTGTGACCAACATGTGGCAGCCCGAGGTGTCCATGGGCACAAGGCGAAGCTGCTTGGGGGTGGCCGCCCTGCACGGGCTTCTGTATGCAGCTGGTGGCTACGACGGGGCCTCCTGCCTCAACAGGTAGTAGCCACGGTTGGGACCCCCGTGGCTTTTTGGGGTTGGCTGAGCAGCGGGATGTGAGGCTATATCACGTCTGACTATAGGAATGAAGGGGATCTCACCTGACTCAGGCCACCAGGGCCCTCGAGACCTCTTCACCTCAGGCCACGGCAGCACCAGGCCTGGTGGGCTCTTGGCTGTGCTGGCCCAGCTGCTCCTTCTTTTCCTCTCTGGGGTCCTTCCCACCATCCCAGGGGCTGGGCCCAAGTGACCTCGTCCAGCACCATCCAGTCAGCCAGTGGTGGGTATCCACCCAGAAGGCTCTGTGTGTCCACTCTGGCAAGACTCTGGGCCCAGAGTCTGCATGCATGACTCGTCAGCACAGGATTTCAGTTATTCTACAGGGGAGGGCAGGTCCTGGGGCTAGGACAGCCTTTCTGCCTTGGCTGAGGGTCAGCAGCGGTCTGGTGCCCACAGTGCTGAACGCTATGACCCCCTGACGGGAACATGGATGTCCATCGCTGCCATGAGCACGCGGAGGCGATATGTGCGTGTGGCCACGCTCGGTGGGTGACAGGGCCTGCTTCTTGGGGTGCCCCCCCAACCCTGGGGACCCACACACCCAGCGGGAGCACCACGGGTATGTTGACTTCCTGCAGATGGGAACCTGTACGCCGTGGGTGGTTACGACAGCTCCTCACACCTGGCCACGGTGGAAAAGTACGAGCCCCAGGTGCATACACTCCCAGTCACGGTCACCCCTTCCCCAGTGCTGCCTGGGGTCACCCACGTCCCCTAAAGGGTCAGCCCTCTGCATCCCACCCTTGTCTCACAGACACCCCATCCTGGAGTAGGGTCTATGCTGTGGGCGGAAGGATGCCCATGAAGGATCCGACTCTAGTTTGACCCCTGGCCGTGGCAGGTGAACGCCTGGACGCCTGTGGCCTCCATGCTGAGCCGGCGCAGCTCAGCGGGCGTGGCCGTGCTGGAGGGCGCCCTGTACGTGGCGGGGGGCAACGACGGCACCAGCTGCCTCAACTCGGTGGAGAGATACAGCCCCAAGGCCAGCGCCTGGGAGAGCGTGGCGCCCATGAACATCCGCAGGTCCGCGGGTCAGGGAGGCGGGGGCGGTTGGGGGGGGCTCGCCAGTGCAGCGGACTTGCCTTCCCACCTCCACCCCCTCCAACAGACCGGACCGGCGGCTACGGTGGCCCTCACTGCCCCCG